AAAAATACATTATACATGTAATTGTTCCAAAATAGCTTCTTTTTTGTGTGTGATAAATAACACAAAGTTTATGTATCAAGTAAATTTATATTGAACTTGATAAACGCTAATCAAAGATTCAACAACATTAGAGTTATGTATCAATACCTTAAATATGAACATTATACATTGCGTAAAACAAAGGTTATTGTAGCAGTGATGTATCAGATCAATGATAACACTAACAAAGACTAGTTTAAGACTCAAAATAAACGAGATACATTAAAAAATTGTATCTTTGATAGTGATGGCCGTGCAATGACAGATCCAACTTTTTTCTTCTTCTTTTTTTTTTGGATGTTTTTCAATAGTAGAAACATTAAAAGAAAATAAATATTTTTCAAGAAAAATTTTCAACGACAATATGATTAACTAAAATTGCAAAGGTTCAATAAGGTTTCAATGAGGGAAGGGGGTGGAGGTAATTTTATTTTTATTTTTTAAGATGAAAAAAATTAAAAAATAATAATAAAAGAAATCTAAAATTGAAGTGATGGAAATAAATCTACCTCTTGAATAATTTGAAATCATTAATTGGAAGTAGAAAAGATTTGAAATTCAAAAATAGATTAATTGATAAACTTGAAAGACACCTTCTGAAAATCAAAATGAATTTGAAATTTGTAACTGCTAAAGAAGTGGAGAGAATTTAGGGATAAAATGGAGGAGTGAAATGGGGAGTAGGAAACGTGGGTGTAGGCTGAAAATATGAGTGAAATATTTATGTATCCGGAAGATTTTATGAATTGGAGAATTAAGGGATTTTTGAAATTTTAAAAAAAGGTAGGGATAAATTGATATTAAAGTAAGTAAATGTGTGTATATAAGTAATTTTCCCTAATTTATAATGTTAATATCATGCATAAACAGTACTATATATTTATATGTAATAAAATATAGTATATTTATGCAAAATTTTCCTAATAAAAATCTCTTTTTTATATAGAAAAAAATAATTTCAATGGAATAATTTATACTATGAATACTTATTCAATAAATATTAGACCAAAAAGTAATAGTAATGCGACTTTTTCATAAAAGTATATTTATATGGTAAAAATACATTGTATATATTTTAGATATAAAAATATTATACCGTGAATATATTACAAATAAAAATTTAGAAATATTTCTTACCAAATACTACTCTACATAATAAATTTATACCATGCTTATTTATTCCATAAATATATACCCAAAGGCCAAAAATAACATTATATCATGAATACTTATTCCATAAATATTATACCAAAAAGTAACAATAATTCGACTTTTTCATAAAAGTATATTTATATGGTAAAAATACATGGTATATATTTTAGATATAAAAATATTATACCGTGAATATATTATATATAAAAATTATATGTAATTAGAAAAATTTCTTATGAAATATAAAAAATTTCTACCATGCATATTTATTCATAAATATATAGCCAAAAATAACAATAATCTTTTCTTGTCAGAAAATATATTTATACTATAAAATACATGGTATACTAGAAGAAATTTATATCATGCACATATCATATGTAAAAAATTATGTGTTATCATTATTAATAATAATTTTATATAAAAATAAGGAATTATATTAAAATTAAATGAAAGAATTCTCTATGAGATCTTTGAATTTAGTGGCTAATGAAGATTTGTGTAATAATAGCGTGAGAAAAAATGGGCAAGGAAGATTTGTGTAATAAGGATGAGAGAGAAAATTAATTAGTGGCAGTTTTTTATGTTTAACCGAGATAATAATTGTTTAAAAGTTCTTTTTTATTAAACGGCCATATATGAAATAAAATCTCTTATATTTGTAATATATTACAAAGTACTACTTTATTTATGTAGTTAAGTTGGGTCTTTTCATATAATTTCCCCTACTTTTTTAGGGGTGTTTGGTTGGGAATAGATAGTGCCGACAAAATGAGTTCATATTTTGGTATATTGTTCAACCTATTCATATTTTAATGGTTAGCTGAGTGATTTTTTTATAGGGGTAAACTATATTAATGGGCCATAAAATTTAAAATAATTACAAGTTCATACCCAAATCCAAGGTAATTCCTGAAATACACATTCTCTCATAGATAATTACAACCCATACCCCATTCATTAAGGCTGATAATTTCGTTTAACTAATATATATACTTTTATAATATCATTGACTAATGAGTAATTTTTGAACAAGAAACCTTAATGTCTACTTCAACAATGAGCTTGTAGCTAAAGGTGTGGGGCCCACTTTAATATTTTATCCATTTTAGTTTATTTGTCTTACTTTACTTTTAAATATGTTATATATTTGAAAATTACCTTAGAATTATCGTAAATCATGATAATTAACAACTTAAAATATTTGGGTTATATATTTAAAAAGTACTATCAATCACAATAATTAACTACTAAAAATATGTTTAAAATATTTTTAAAAAGCTGCCTGACTCTCGAAATTCTATCAGTACCACATAAATTGAGACAGAGGGAGTAAAATTTTTTATTTAAAAATTACGTAAAATGTACTATAAATCACAATAACTAACAACTAAAAATATTTTAAAATCATATAAACATTTTATTTGTGCCATTTAAATTGAAACACAAGGAGTACCAATTTGAAAATGATGTTAAAAAAATATTATAAATCACAATTATTAATATCTTTAATTTTTTTTAAAAATAATAATATTTGATCGACTCCTCAAATTTCATCCATGTTTCATAAATTAATATTAAAAAAATTAACACATATTAAATCCTTGCTGACACAGACTCCTGTATCTAGTATACAAATAATAAGCACTACAAGAGATGGCGAGTACCATTGTTTGAAATTAAAATGGTAATTTATGCTTTGAGCGATCAGAATTGACTTCATTTAGTTTTAGAATGATTCTTAACTAATATCCAATAATAGAAATAACTTTAAAGTCATTGCAATATTTTTGAACATAAATGTAGAAATTTGGAATTATCACCTATCTTAAGAAGCTATAATGAATGATTGAAGATATCATTTTTTTGAGATCAATTTTACCTTCTAATACTTGTGGTTTTGGATGGTCACAATTTTTTTGTCTTAATATAATGTCTTCTCTCGATATTGCATGATCTATTGTAAAATAATTAAGCATTAAGACACAAACTTCCTTCATATCCCATTTCGAGATATGTAAGGAAAACGATAGAGAATTCACAATTTCCTGATGTTATATAGTTGGGGGGGGGGGGTTTAAGAAGAGACAAATAAATTGCTTATTTTAAAACTTTATTAGCAATTGAAGAAATCAAGATGGAGTTTTGTGCTCAGATTTTGATTTGAAGTAATACTTGATTTTGGGTAATACTAAAATCTTAAAGATTTTTGCATGAGGAAGACATGAAGGACTGCGATATGGAGTCGGTCACTATGAAGTGCAGGGGACCACAATTTTTGTCCCTTGATGTCCGATGGCTAGCTGAGAAAAGGTCATCGCTTGCTTATGGAGATCTACATTTGCAAGACTAGCTACTGCAAAAGCTATGAGATCATCACCTTTTACTAGGTGCATTCATGATCTTATCAGCATATACAATAGCTCGCCTTACAAAGATATAATATCCATAAACATGTGATGGTCTCCTATCAGCTAGCACTGGGACATCAAAGAACAAAAATTGTGCCCCCTTGCACTTTATGGTGACGAGCTTCGTATCATAGTTCCT